TAAGCGATTCAATCCTACCTACGAGGCGAATACCCAAGCTGCTCTCCAAAAAACGCGTTTTTCAATTCACCATGCCTCTCGAAAGCCGCCTCATCGTCCGCACACTTACTACTCAGGATTCTCCTGGTTTGTACAGCTGCAACAGCTGTTCCAAGATTATCAAGTCTACAAACGGCTACACAAACGTCCTAAACCATCTTAAGCGATTCAATCCTACCTACGAGGCGAATACCCAAGCTGCTCTCCGAACGGCGAACTCGGTATCTATTCGTCTGGTCGAGCATGCGACCACCGACATGTTCCGTTGGATTGAGTGGATCGTCATGGATTGCCTACCCTTAACGTTTTGTGAACGTGATCTTGTTCGACGCAACGCAAAGCTCCATCACGTTTGCGTGAAGACGCTGAAGTTGTATCTCGACGAAATGGTTGCGGTGGTCGAGGTGCTACCAAGACGCTATGGAATTGTATTGGATGGATGATCCAGTAGTGGGCGGCACTACATCGCTATCTTTGCTGTATTCAATGACCCTGGCTCAAATGACACTACGGTCCCTCGCTCGAGTGACTACCACGATGATCTTGAATGCCCCTCGCGACGATTCGTATTGCTAGCGTTCTGTCCCATGGAGACGAAGGCGACCTCAGCGCCCAAAGTTTGTTTCATTTGATCGCCGACACTCTCACTAAGTGCGAACAGCCATGGGAAGCAGTCGTCTTTATGGTGGGAGACAACTGTTCTGTGAATCAATGTATCGGGGGCCGTGTTGGTGCAATCCCGTTGATCGGATGCGCTAGCCATAGGTTTGCACTTGCTCTGAGAGATTTCATGCAATCTGAAGAAGGTCTACTCGATAAGGTCTATAAGCTCATGAAGAAACTGAGTACGGTGAAGGGTAGGTCACTGTTGCGATCGTGCACGAAGTTAGCCCCGGTGATGCGCAACGACACTCGCTGGTCCACTACACACGCGATGCCCCAACGCAACTCTAAGTTAGAGCCGTTTATCGGCTCATTTGACGCTGAAACGGTTTCGGTTTACGATTTAGAACCTATGCTGTTGAGTCGGTCCGAAACCCTTCGGATCACATCACTACTCCAAGATCTAGACAACTTTGAGTCGGTTACAAAAATCCTTCAAGGGTCGACTCTTACGTGTCGGCAGCACGCCGTCTCTTCGACCATGATAACGCTAACCACCCGGATCTGAAGGAACGAGTGGCCCCCACTGCAACAAACGTCAATAACCGTGCGCATGGGTCCGGACAGATTAAGATTCAGCGGGTACAAGCTCTCATGGCTGCAGAGCGGACGGCTTGCGCGACGTTTTGTGTTGAAAACACGACCAACCCTGCGAAAGAACGTGGTGACGCTCCTAGCAGTTTTTTGTCGCACAGGATTTCAAACGCCGCAAAACAACTAAACGAAAGACCTATGAAGACGTGGGGTACGTGCCACTCACGTCAAACGAGTGGGAACGCCTATTTTCCAGAGCCAAGCTCATCTTCGGCGACATACGGAAGAGAATGGATCGCGTAACCCTCGAGACTCTTCCTACAGTGCAACCGCTCACAATGGGATGTGTACACTGTAGACAAAGCTCGTAACAACATTCGTCGCAATGCTAGACAATAACTGAATAATTCATTTTTTGTGAATCGACGACAAGATTAATCCAGCATTTTAATATTTGCCATCCCTGATGGTCCAGTCGATCTAGAGCGTTTAGAACCACCATATAAATTAGGACACCGGTACAAAACGAGCTATTAGGGCGGTCTTCTACAACAATCGTTGATGGATATGTTCGTGCCAATCTGAGTGAATGGTGATCCGGCCGGTCATGAAGTTTAATGGTAGTTTTATACGCGTTGTAACCCGTCATAAGCTCGTACCCCCCTGATCAACTGAGATATCATCCGGACAATCAAACGCAACAAGGTGGTATACGCAGGACCCGGTTCATAGGTCATACCCCACCTCATCCACGATTCGATGACGCAACGTAGGCACCTTGGGTTTGAATGCCGGACAGGCGTTACGTACATCCGGGTTGGTGATGCTAATGAGGATATTTGGTTTTAAATCGATAGCATATCTGTTGTATCGTGGCGGTCTAACTTTGCTAAACGAAGCACATGTTCGTTAGCTTTTGTGTGAGTTGAGGGACAATCTTTGGTTCGCATGTGTGGATATACGATTGTCCATTGATTATTGATTGGTTAACAGTCTTACACAGCTAATGGTTTACACGATGCCGCTGATCAACGATCTACTGGAGGATCTCGAGTCTACACTGTGGTATTGCTCTTTGGATATGGCGAGCGGATTCTGGGTGGTGAAGATGAAGGGTCGGGCCCGCCTGATCTCGGCCTTTATTACCCCATTTGGACTCTTCGAGTGGAATCGGATGCCTTTTGGGCTGAAAAATGCGCCGTAGATCTACGAGCGGATGATCGACAATGCCCTGTATGGGTTCACTCGGATCCTGAAAATGGCAGGTGATCTGAAGCATCTGGATGTATTCGAGGCCGGAGAACCCGAAGATCCGGGCAAACCATCGGTGTTAGGACGCAGATCCTACATCGACGACATCTTGGTGCCAGCAGATAATTGGGATCAGCTATGCGACCGAGTCGAAGATCTGCTGGAGGCGTGCGACAAATGGAACTTGTCGATCAGCGTTGTCAAGCGTTTCTGGGGCATGCCCAAGGTGGAGTATCTCGGTCACAAGGTGTTGCTCGACGGACCGGAGGCGAATCCGAAGGATCTGTCGGCGCTGACGGATTTTGAGTTTCCCGGATCCCTGCGTGCCATGCAATCCTTTTTGGGCAGCCTGAACTATTACAGTTGCTGCATCGAAGATTACGCGATTTAAGCGTCTGAGCTGTATGAGTTGAGGGAGATCGACTATGCTTCGACGGAGAAGGGCATGAATCGAAGCCGGATCCAGCTAGAACCTGCATCGGAATCCTCGGATCCAGACATATTGACTGAGGATCCGACGAGTCCGCAACCTTCGGATCCGAGCCTGCGGGGTCAGGATCCCGGATTTAGTGATCAAGATCCGAACCTAGCATCACGGGATTCGACGCCTAATTGCGTAAAGACGACGAACCCCAAGAATGACAATCCTGCGGATCTGGATCCCAGGTGGATCCATGGTCACAGATCATTCAAGGTGCTAAAGGAGAAGATAGCGAAGACGCCGATCCTGCGGCACTTCGATCCGGATCGACAAGCAGTGGTGGTGGTATATGCCAGCGATTGGGCGATTTCCGGTGCATTGATGCAAGAATATGATCAGGTTTACTATCCAGTGATGTTCGCGAGCCGTACGTTGAAGTCCAACGAATTGAACTATGGGATCGACGAGAAAGAAGTGTTAGCGTTGTTCCGGATCCTGGATCTCAACTATAATACTCTGGTTGGGAGACCGATCCGAGTGCTGATACGACACTCCACAGTGGCTTGGTTATTCAGATTCAATGCACTACAAGGTCGCCTGGAACAGTGGTCCCCGCTACTTTCACCCTGGACCCTCGAGATCGTCAAGTGTAACAAGGGCGAGGATGAGATTCTGGGCACATTAGCAGCGAGTATCACCCCCAGATCCGAAGTCGACAAAGCGCTGATCTCGATCGCCTCGAAGAAAGAGCCGAGACGCAAGACCCAAGCCCCGATCCCAACAGTAAGATCGGATGAGGATCTATATGTCGATAGCTTTGACGGATCCGCCCGTGACAAGCGAGGTGGAGACGCCTACAGTGCGATCCTGTGGAAATTACCTGAGTGGACTGTGGTGAAGGCTAGATCCGGCTATGCCGAGGGTTTGACTGTCAACGAAGCTGGATATCACGGCCTCTTGTTATGTCTTGATTTGCTGGAAGGAACGGATCCGCTGCGATTGGTGATCTGCGGCGACTCAAACCTGGTGATCAGCCAAGTTAGAGGCGAAATCGTTTGCAAGGCACCTGGATTGACGTTATTGAGACAAAAGGCGTTGAACAGATTGCGGATCCGGCCGGACCTTGAATTGGTACATGGAAACGGGATTGGAACGGAAGAGCAGATAGTCTGCCTAGTGCTGCATTGCAACGGCAGTGCGGGATCGAAGTCGAAACTGATAGCGAGGTTCAGGATCTGATCACATTGAACAGGCTGAATGAGATATTGGTGGTGAAATAGGAGGATCCGGCAGTGCAGACCTCGGCCGTTACTAATAGATCGAAGGCCCGGCGTGAGATCGGGATCCAATCCCCCGGTATTGTGCGAAGAAGTGATCAGAGAGCTCAGGATCGAGCGGATCCGGCAGGCACAGGACGAGGAGGCGTGGATCCACAGTTTGAAGAAGTATCGGGTTGGAGAAATACGCAATCTGACACAGGAAGAGGCTAGCCCTTGCGGATGCATCGGGGCTAGGGAGATGGTGGAATTTGTCTCGTGACCACTTTGACCACATTCGACCACATTGTTGTCTCGACGACTTGTCTCGATGCAAATCGCAATTCGGGTAGGCTAGAAGATAACAGAGAGTATTTTAACATCTTTAAATAAGTGAAGATTGTTATTGCTGCGAGTTGAAGTACTCTGTTATCGTACGGTTCCCTCTGTTTGTAGCAAAAAGCAAGCAGTCGCGATTTTGAGTGTGATCTCCGCACTTCATGTGCTTCTTGCGGCAGCTAGAGCAAGATGTCGCTCTGCCCATTTCCGATAAAAGTCTCGGTGGCAATATCGGAGCACTGGCATGCAAATCTACTTGCACTCTGCGAGAGGTACGCCTTCTTTTGATATGACATCGTAATTCGTTATCGGTGAGGTGCGCATCTGGATAATTCTTCTTGAGTTCGTGTTGTAGAATATCGGATTTCCCTCGTGCATAGTGAAGCGACTCGGATAAAGATCTCAGCTCAGCTAAATGCTCAGGAGCGATATGAATCGGTACTTTACGCGTTTTTTGAGAATCGTGAGCCGTTAAATCACTTGTTTACACAAACGGAGGCAAATGAGAAGTATCCGGATTGGACACCGTACAATCGGCGTCCACTACTGTTTTTCCAGCGTCATTCGCTCCCATACTTGGAACCGTAATGGGTTCAGATACAGGTAGAGTAGCGAATGCAATGTCTGTGTGCGCCGGTGCCGACGCCATAACAATCGGTTCTGAGGACGCTTCAGTTTGAGTAGCATCAGCAGCATCTATGGCTTTCACCAGCTTCCTCTTTTGACGATTTTGAGCAGCCTTTAACACCTCCCAACGCGATAATAGCACCGACTCCGGCAGACGGTCAATTCCA